AAAAAAAAAAAAAAAAAAAAAAGAAGGAGATTTGCTACATTGCCAATACTGGTCAGGAGCAAAACCAAAGGCTCTGGGGGCAAAGGAGAACTTTCTTTTTCTAAACAGAGAAGAAGTCAAAAATCTTCTGAGTGGCAGAGGCTTGTCTTCCTTTAAGATTTACCGTTTCTTTGAACTGCCTTCTTTTCTCCACATGTCCTGTTTCGTTGGAGTGGGCCAAGGACACAGGGATCATAATACTGACTCCAGGAGACACACAGGGACAAGAAGGCTGCTTATGGCTTCCCTATATTAAGAAGCAAGAGTCACCTGTGACCCTGTCTGGTTTAACAAGAGATCGCGATGGGGTCCAAAGCCCCTGAGAAGGCAGCCGTGCTCCTTGTGCCTCAGGTTACCCGGGTGCCTGCTCTCCCACAAGGGCCTCGCAGGGTGGCTGTGGTCTCTAGGCAGCCTGCCAGTTGAGAATTTGTGATTCTGATCCCCCCACAATATCATTTCACATTTCTTAAGACAACCAATGCCAGGATACAGAGTCCCAGTACTTCAGAGTTGGAGAAAGCCCCAGACGTCAGCTGGTGTGCCTCTGGGGCCACTGCCAGACTTAGAAGCCAGCTGTTGGTCAGCAGGTGCAGGTTTGGGGGGTGCCTTTCCAAAACCAGCCAGCAGCATCGAGGCTCCTGGGCCCACCTGTCAGCCCGTGTGGTGCACACCATGGCAGGCCGCAGAGACATCTCCAAATACTTCCTCTGACAAGCTCAAGAAGACCGCTAGCTAGAGTCAATATGGCCAGATTTTCAAAACTGAGCTTTTAAAAATTTATTTACTTACTATTTACGGTTGACCCTTGAACAATGCAGGGTCAGGGGTCCAACCCCCTGTGCAGTTGAAAATCTGTGTACAACTTCTGATCCCTTCCCAAACTTCACTGATAGCCTGTGTTGGCCAGAAGCCTTGTGGATAACATGAAGTCAAGCTCCACATGTTGTGTGTGTTATATGTACTATACTACTACCATGTTTCCCCCAAAATAAGATACTGTCTTATATTTATTTTTTCTCAAGAAGACACACTAGGGCTTATTTTCAGGGGATATCTTCTTTTCATGAAGTATAACCCAACATTCTACATTTATTCAAATACAGTTAAGTCATCTTCTTCTGGAACCTGACAGGGGGAGCCAACCTTGTTGCTGGGGCTGGCACTAGTGATGCACAAACTCCTTTCCCCTAGTCATTGGCACGTGCGCAATAGCATGCCTGTGACCGCGGTTACCACATGCACACCTGCACAAGTGCCTACGGCTTGGAGAAAGGAGCTGTGGCAGATAAAAGGTATTCCAATCTTCTGCTCCATGCCGAAATGCAGGGCATGGCTATGTAGATAGGCTGCATAGCCACGCCCATCACTAGGTCTTATTATCAGGGTAGGGCTTATATTTAACAAATGCATAGAAATCCTGCTAGGGCTTATTTGGGGGGTAGGTCTTATTTTCGGGGAAACACAGTATATGCCAGCGATTTTGAACGAGTGTACTGCAGCACTCTGATAGGTGGGCTGCAACATTTTTAAAGCTCATTAATTATTTTCAAAAAGAGTTTAAAGCACAGTAAGTATACTCTGTTTTTTTTTTTACTCTTTTGTTTGCTCAACATAATTTAAGTGTGTCCTAGAAGTTTAACTATAGGCTCAAGTGTGCAGTGACATGAGAAAAGTTAGAACCCCTCCTGTATACTCTATTCTTAGAGTAAACTAAGCTGGAGAACATAAAATGTTACCAAGAACATCATAAGGAAGAGAAACACATTCACAGCGCTGTATTTCCTGAAACCGAGGTTTGTCCAATGCGTCCGACACCATCAACAAGGGTCACCTGGAGAAAGAGCGTCCTAAGTGAGGCTGCGATGGATGTGTCCAAGAGTTCCAGACTTTTCAGGTAGGAGGCAGCTCTTTTCACACAGCCCCTGCTCTCAGGAGCCACCGTGGCCATGAGAACGCAAAGTCAGAGGACGCCTGAGCCTCTGCTACCGGCCGGTGCCCTGCCTTTGAGGAATCCAGTGTTTACAAACCTGCTTGTTCACAACTCTGTTTTGCACCAATGCTGCTGGGACCACAACTCACACCCATCAATAACAGCAGTACTTTGGGACATGGATCTTCACCAGGGACCCCTGGCCCACTAGTGAGAGGTGTCAAAGGCTGAGGAAAGACTTAGGGACGTTTTATGACACCAGGAGGGCATATTTCTCCCTTTTAAAAATGCATTCTTTTAAACCATAAACAACAGCTGGTTGGCTCTTTTGTTAGAAACTGTCCTCTCATTAGTCATTTTAGTGTAGGTGACAGTGCAGCTCAGAGCAGTCAGACTAACCCCTTTGGGTTGTCCAGCAGGCAGATGGTGCTCTCTGCTGCACACACGCTCACGGCCACTCTGGGAAGCTGGGGAAGGGACCCTTCCCATAAGGTGACGGATGGGGAAAAGGGCGGCCTAGAGCTGACCCAGTCCGGGAGGGGCACAGCTGGGCCTTGAGCCTCAGTCCCCTTTCCTGTTCCTCTCCCCCAGGTGTCCTTTGCTGCCCATTTCACTGACCTGGGCTTTGTCTCCCAGCTGTGGCCACATGGGTAGCAAGTGCAGCCATCTGAGTCCCTGTGCCCTGAAGACACATGGAGCAAAGTGACTATATTGTGCCCCTGCCAGGTCCGTAGCAAGGGACCTGTTCACAAAGGAGCGCTGCACAACGGTTTGCAAACAAGGAGTCCTTCCTCTCTGCTCCCCTGTGGCCCTGAGAGAGGGAACCACATCTCCCCTAGGAGGCACCAGCCCAGTTTCCTCCTGGATTTTGAAAGGAGGATGGGAAGAAGAGGTCATGGAAGAAGGAGGTGCATTTGTTACTGTGCCTGAAGGCAGCGGTGACACCTGAGAGCTGAGGTTGTGGGAAGCCCAGACAATTACATGCAGCGCAAATGAGAGACTTGAGGAAGACCCTGGAGAGCCCCCGGTGGTGGCAGAACTCCCCGGGCTGAGAGGAAAGGAGGCCAAATGCCCACTGGAGTTCACACCTGGGTGTCCCACAGGTGCAAACAGGGAGGTGATTAAGATGAGATGCCAAGGGGACCGGGTTCCTGAGTAAGCGGCTGCCCTTGACGAGTAAGCGGCTGCCCTTGACGCAGGTGCAGACGGAGGGAAGCTAAGGACTGGGGAGTGCAGCTCAAGGGGGGAGGCACAGTCTGGAGGACAAGCGTGAGCACCAGTGCCAGGGCCCCCCCCCCGCCCCCCGGCAGGAGACTGGCATGCCCGCCCCCTTGGCCTCTGTTGTGCAAAACGTAAAAAAGAGGGTGCAGGCTTCTGTGGAGGCAGCGCTGCTCTGCTCGCAGGACGGCTGTGTTAAACAGAT